AGTTTGGCGCCCAGCGAATATTTTTCTTCCCCATACTCTAAAAGATTTTACCTAAGGGAAGGTCAAGATGGATAAAATCCCTATTTTGAAGATCTCTCACACTATTGAACTGATATGAAAATATTGGAAGACAATAATTGCATTATTCTACTTGGAGTTTTTGTCGAAGAATTTTCATTCAAATAACGTTCTTACCTTATTAGGCAAGTACTCTTCGATCAATATAATAGTTTTAGTTTGTAGTAAGAGCAATAAACATCATCAGTTTAGATTTTATATTATTGATGAAGAGTATTGAAAGATATGCACGCACCTACGCACACCTCCACAAAAGAGTGACCAAATAAAAATCAATAATAGGATAATATATGAATGCGGCCGCCACTCCCTACACACTTTCAAAACCACGACTCTTTTGCAATTCACTTCCAAATGGCCAATAACTATAATCTGCCGTTACTGCTGTTGCGTTTCGGAACAAAATATAAACTCGTTTTTAGGCAGTTAATTGACAGACAAATCGCTTGAGCCTACAGCTTGTAACTGGACGCGCGTTCTCTGTAATAAGAGCAATAAAGTCAACATAATCGGAAAAGTTTAATCGCTGTGGAGCATAACCAAACAACGTTGCGCTGATTACAAACCGCTCCACATCTGCCTTTTCTATAGTCAACGCAGCATAATCGAAAATGCGAACTTTATTAATCATACCAATTAAACGAATTGACACAGTGTTACTATGTCGACCATGCGACATTGGGCTGGAGATTATCGCGAGCATTCGAATTTTTATCTTTCGCGCTATTAGTTTTATGTATTTATGCACATAATCACAAACTTATATACTTATATAATTCTTTGATCGCGTATTTGCTGCCTTTATGCATTCGGATTCAAACAACTTTAGGTTCAGTACATATTTGTATACCCCTCCCGACAAAAATACAAAAGCGAGCAAATAAAGCACAAACTCATTTGAATGTTTTAATTTATCTTTGCTTTTTTTCTGTTTTCTTTTACGTTGAGTTTTCATATTCATGATATGGCTACTTTACAGGCTGAATTTTGCACACCTCTTAGGAGGCTGTGGTAACACGGGAATAATGCCATGACGAGATGAGTCGAGTCTGCCTGTCCGTCTGTATATAAGTACGTGAACTAGCCTCCAGTTTTTAAGATATCGCTCAGAAATTTTGCACACATTCCTTTGTTCCCAAGAAGCTGTTCCTTTGTCGGAGAACTATAGCATATACTTAGTTGCCATTCAAACTGGCCGATTAAACTTAAGCCGATGTACAAGTATTAAAAACTTTTTTATTTGATAAGACATCACATAAAATTTTGCACAGATTATTATCCAAGGCAGCGATACAGTCTCTGATCACATTGTTTATAACGGACCACTATAAAATATAGCTGCCATTCAAACTAAGCGGTCAAAATCAATATAAAGATATTTTTATACCCGTTATGCTATAAAAAATGCAACTGTGAAGGGTATTATAGCTTCGGTGCAGTCGAAGTTAACGTTTTTTCTTGTTTTCGAGTAAGAACACCTTAAAAAGGCGTTACCGACCCAGCAGACAACAGTTGCTTTGAGAAAATGTGCACAAACTCATTTCACTTTATGCACTCGCAAATTTGTCCAACTACACGCACGTACATTTAAATGTGTTAATATGTTGGTTTGTCCATTCGTACAACCATTTAACTATACGCTCACTCAATCTACCTAAGTAGGTCAAAGTATTTTGCATGTGTTTGGCTTTGCATGCGTATTTTCATATGAACGTAATAATGTATATTTTGCTTGTTTGTGGATCTAACGTTCGTCAGCGACTGTGCCGTCGCATGCTGCTCCTGGTCGATTGCCACTCGCGGTTGCAGTGTTTGCAATCGCTTTTATGCATAAATCTGTTGTGCAAATATGCTCGAAGAAGACATCAATCTGCGAAAAGCGTGAGTAAAATACGAGTACGGGCCGTTGAAATCGTATTAGTGTTTATTTGAAAGATCGGACAACAAATATATCATAGCTCTGAATGACATTTTCAACGCACTATTACGCAGCTAAAACAAACCGTTAAAAAAACAAACATGAACTAATATTCCCGTTATGTGATAAACGCTGTCTTCGATTCGCTAAGCGTTAAGGCCCAGTTATGCATACATAGCATAAGCATTGCCATTCATGAGAACTGTCACATAAAAAATCTGCTTAATACGTTATTCATGTATTTGATTACCGAACGCATTGTGATTCTATGCTGTGTGACATTTCAGATAGAGGAATCGCTGCTCTCTTTTTCTCTCTTCTCTCGTTGCGTCCGTTGCGATACCTTCAGTTTTGCATTTTCATTTATGATATTTCACATTTGCGTGCTCTCACAAACAATGAAAAACAGCGGAATTTCTATGCGATGTGTGAAGTATAACTGTAGCTATGTTTCGCATGAAATGTTTGTTTATACAGTTATACTGAACCCTTACTCTTTATCGAGCCAACTATACCAGGTGTTCTAAGAAACAGGTAGCACTTGTGGTGCAACCCTGTTAATTTTAATTTAATCCTATATTTTTCATCTCTATAAATTACTATAGTTGATTTTAAGGTTTTGAATACAAGAAAAAAAATTGGTATTTTCATTTGTTATTTGATATAAAATATGCAAAAGAAAACTTGGTAGCATTGAAGATAGCGGCTATGACACTTTATAGCATAAACACAATATGGGCGATGGCGAATATTCGTCGTCCTCGGGGATGCTGTCGGTGATTCCAACACAAGATTGTATATGAAGATTAACACAATACGCGACGGCGGGGAATTTCGCCCACCATGAAGATATTCATACCAATATCTATGTTATAAAAAATTTGAACACAACTTTCAAAAACACTTCAATTAAAGTCACTTCAATTAAAGTCACAGTCACCTAATCATTTATTGATATCTCGTGCCAATCATTTGTCGATTTCTGACAGATTCAAATCTAAATTTTTTAAGCACAAATAAATATTATATATTTTTGTGTGAGTAGCAGTCAATTTGCTGATCATTATCATTTTGCCACCTTAAATTCACCCATCGAAATTATTGCAACAAACAAGCGCAGTAATGACCTTCTTGGAGTGCTTTGTAGACTTTCAACAAATTTTTACAATTCTAATTTTGCTGCCAATGCGAAACGTTATTCGATGCTAACCTGCATCGTGACTTAGGCAAATGTTAAACATGAACAAGCGTAATGTTGGAAACGATACAATATTTCTTACATACATACTGCGTACTTATAAATATATTTATATGTAGATTTCCATATGTTTATCTTTTTGTGGATCATAGGTACATATGTCACAACTTGTAGGTTAAAAAAAATATTTGTTGAAACAAGCAAAAACGATGATTGGAACTAATATGAATTATGAGATAGTGTAAGTTTTTTGTAGTGTTAATGTGGAGTTCGTAAAGGGATTAGTGATAAAGAAAATCAATTTACATATTTTTATAAAAGTTGATAAACAAATTAAAAATTTGAAATATTATGTAAGCCTGGATTTTAGATGAGATATGTGAGATGCTTATAAATCTCACGGCAGAAATATAGCGTAGTATGAACGTAGTATACTTGTACATATAACGTGTCTCATGTACTGTCGAAATATGGCTTAACTGGCTTCTGGACTAACTAGTGAAAATTAAATTTATAAATATGACATCTTCTCCTTGATTTAACTCTAGATAAATGAAATGACATGGACAATATCAATTTGTTTGTTAATTCATTCTCATAACATTCTTTATTTATATTCTTGTAAGATATTAATAATATAAGCTATTTCCAACTGTACTTTAATAAATTAAGTATATTTTGAGCATCAGAAATAGTTTAAATTTTAATGCTGAAGTATGGTTTGTATAGAATATATTAGTATTCTCCAAGCCGTCAAAAACACAGCATGGAATAATCACAAATTAGTCCGAGAAAATAATATTGAATAATTGATTTTGAATTCTAAAACGCCAAAATCAATTTAATTTAGAAAGTATAAATCGAAAAATATACTCAATTACGATCTAAACGTAATGTCGTCTGAGCTCTTTCGAAAAATTTGTAAACAAAATGCAAAACACAAAAATTGACCTCCCAAATAAGTAGCTCGACAAAAATGGGTAAAAGTGCGAGATACAATAAGTACACACACACACACACTTATTTATATAAATACATAATAATCACATATTGTTGCGACTTTCACTTCAACACCTCCAATTCAATTCGTCTCTGTTCAATTGTATTGCCAACATTGCGATACAAACACTTAAATATAGCCCATGGCACGAACGTAAGACCTCCAAATTGTTTTTGTTATGGCAAAATTGAAGGTGAACGTGTTTGAAAAATCTTAGGGCATTTCTTTTCCAAGCGGTCTCCAACTGCAATTAACTGTTACTTATCAGCTTGAGTACACACTGACATACACACCCAAACGCTTATTTGCCCTAATCAGCCTTCAACATGCTGTCGGGCAATAAATATTGGGCGAATTCGAATAGCGACCGGAGCGTAGCTACCAGCGCTGATCCGACGTAGGGTGTAACCACAAAACCAAATACAAAATTGTACTAATTTTTACAGCGAAGCAAAGAAGTTTATGTAAAGATTTCCAGAAATATCTTTTTGAATGACAGCAAATATTAAGCTTTGACGACTGAAAAATGATAAATCACCATCGTCACGCTTGGGTTAATATGTCCAATCGTGTGGGAGGTAAGTCACGAAGTGTTTATTGTAGGTAAAACAAATGAAAGTTAGCAACTTCAAGACAAGCAAAAAGTGCGTGTGCTCTACTTCGCACGTTTGGAAGCCTGAAAAATGCAAATGAACTCGGTACGTGGGAATCGGTTTAAACCGAATTGCGGATATGCACCATTATATTTGCCAGATAAATTTAAACTATTTTAAAGCATTACTTACTAGTGTTTATTTTTCTTCCAGACTATTACTATTCACCGCGGCCATATCAGCGCCATACCTCAACACATTTGCACAATTTCAACATTTTGGTGAGCACCTCAACACTCATACCGGCAGCGAATGCGCATTGGTACTCTCTGGACCCGGACGCTCATCAGTCTATGATTACAATGTGAATCTATTCCGTGGCACAATGTAAGTTAACTAATATTTTTCCAAACCATTACTATACCTAGTTAAAGCACTGATTTCCTTAAGTGCGAGGAAAATCAAACAGATTAATTTCTAGTCAGTCATACTATGTAGATGAAATTAATCTAGTGAGTGTTATATTTGCCATGTGCATAAACTGATCCATTCTAGAATAACTCCATGTTTTCGATGGGATTAGATAAACATGCCGTGTTTTGAACCCGAGCTGCTGAAAATTTGTTACTTGCCGCCCACTTACATATTACATTAATTGTGCACATTCCAGCTGGACTCCTCAAGATATTCCTTTGTACGTTTAGTCAGAAGGGTTGAATAGTGTTTTATTCACTTAGAGGGAAATTTATGGTCAACGAAATTAATTTTCAGTATCAAACTACAGGAAAATATGGTCACGAATATAATACCCACATAATTTCATTAAAATATATCATATATTATCGGATAAAGTATAAGTATGGTATAAAATCAAGCGATATGAGGTTATATGAAAATAAAGGCATGTATCTAAAAAAATCACAAATGATACAACATTTTATTGGGAATGGTCCATGCTGAAACTATGCCTGCGGCGGATACTGTACTGCAGTATACAGAACAATCTTTCAAAGCAGTCATTATCATAACTACTTCAAATGAGGCGCCTTAATTCCTGTTCTTATTCATTTCTCATTTTCCTCATATGTGTTTACCCGTAAGTTGCAAAGAACGCAAAACCCACAAATGGGTCAAAGATCTACTGCTTTTTCGAATATTTGTTCGAAAGTGTATTATGCTCACTGTCAACAATATTTATTAAGTATGAATAAATTCCAATACAAAATAGATTATTAGTGGGTGCTTGCTCACAAACGAAAAGAAAAAAGTCATTGTTGGAAACGTCTTGTGGAACCAAAAGTTTACCACATCACATCCTTGAAAAAGTCAATAATCATGTAACATTAAGGCCGGCTTCATTTTTGAATTGAAAAATTGATTTGGAAAATGGATCCTCTGCCTCTGAGCACAGCAAAGAGTAATTTTTTGAGGATGTAACGGCGTCTTAACAATGGTTTGTGGATTATCTTCGCTCCAAATGCGTAAATTTTGTTTATTATCGTACCAATTGAACCAAAAGAGAGCTTCATCCCAGAACAAAATTTTTTCATGAAAGTCAGGTTCGGTGGCTATATCGTTTTGGGCCAATTCATCAACGACAAACTTGATCGTTGTTCGGATTTAGTTCTTTAAAAATAAAATCTAATGTCTCTGGCGTGTTTAGTGCTTAATTTATCACGCTTTTAGTAGTTTTTAACAGTACCGTTATATGGGGTGGGGTTGTCACCCGATTTCACCCATCTTCACACTGTCGAAAAAGATTTGCCCTCCGATTGGAAACGATTGATTTTCGATGCATCCGACCAGATAGCATTTTTCCAGTCTTCCACGGACCAGTTTTTATGTTCCTTACAAAACTTTAGACGCGCCTTAATATTTTTGTTAGATAAAGCAAGTTTCTCCTGTTTAACGGCGGCCATAAAACCAATCCTTTGAAGAGCTCTCCGACTGTCCTCTGACTAGCAATTTTACGGATCGAAAGGCCACTTTTTTTTCAAAGAAGCAACCTTTGCTTCAACGTCGGTTGAAACTTTTCGCATTTTGTATGAAAACACTGATTGCTTAACAACGTATGTTTACGCAACTGATAATCAACTAAAACTGTAAGATAACCCACGCTAAGTAGTTACTCGTTCAAAAATATGAGTTCGGCGCAAGTAACTGTTCATTTACAGTTATGTTTTACGACATCAAAGCGAATTCAAAGTATATTAATTTCATATTTAGTAAAACGAGCAAAACTGTACTGAATGAGTTTGTTTGAGGTTTAGTAGGGTTATCCTTTCACTTTAGTTATTGAAATTATATTAGTACTAGCATGTTGTTGTACATTAAACAAAGAACTAACACTTCAAATTTGGTTTGAGCTAACAGTTAAAATGTCAGAGCACTGAAAGTGCAGAAGGGCGAACATCCGAACGGTTTTGCTCGCCACTGTATATATAACCCTATATATAACTCGCTTAGTTTTAGGTGATAGATAGATTCAAAACTATTATACTCTGTAGCAACAAGTTGCGAGTAAAATGAAATATTATATTTACTTCGAAATTGTTTCGCCTCTACTTCGAATTGCTTCATGTCATGGTTTTCTTTCTATAGGTTCTCCATTTCCGCTTTTACTTGCAACGGAAAGTAATTTTGTTCATTAAATGTTGCAAGTGTTTGTAAATTGTAACTGTTGGAGTATCATCGCCTTCAACTTTCTTTGATGTTTTTTCAAAAATCATGGCCTAAAATTAATAAGATAATAAGTAAACCATTTCTCGATTTTGGAAAAATATCAGTTAATCAAAATATATTTTCCACTGTTCATGAACAAAAATGAACCAGAGTTTCGATAGTGGATTACTGAAAAAACGGCGGATACATCTGGCTTTTTTGAGGGGTGAAGGAAGGTCGTCGAAATACATTTTCAAAGGTTGGAACATTCGAATGATTTTCCCCAAAGCTTCTCTTAAGTCAATGAATCGAGTTTTGTAGTAACTAATCAGTTGATCGTATTTATCTTCATTTGCTTTCTCGCAGATTTACTTGAATGCTTTTGTGCGAATTGTGTGGATGTAAAAATGCGTGCAGATCTGAACAACAATGCTCTCTATTTCAACATCAAGTGCATGCGTTACGAATCGCATTATGCACGATATGCGCTGTACAACCTACACCAACTATGTCCGATTTTTCTTTATTTCTTTCTTTTATTTTGCAAAACCATTTCCTTCACTTTTCCGATCAACGCGACCGAAATTAAGTGGCGCATTGTCACCACAGTGTGCTTTTACACGGGGACTCAAAAGAGTCTCATTTTTTTTAAATTTTCTTTTGGTGTCGCTCTGTGCATTCACACGGTCAAAAAGAGTCCACACACACTTTTCACAAAATTTTCGTAAATATTTGTGCGGTTCGACTGCGCAACACTGCGTGCTGCGTATTTCATTTGTATGCTGAGATGATGGTCACACATTTTGCTTGCAATGAATTACCATGAATATGGTAGAACAATATGCATAATACAAGTACCTACCCGCTAAATAGTTTCAAAGAAATACTAAAGACGGGAATTTCCTAATCCACAAGAATGTATTGAATATCCGCTACTAATATTTTCAAGGCCAAATTTATAATAGGAATTTCCTAATCTTTAAGTATTAAAAACTCATAATTTCTTTACTCCGTATTAAAAATTCATAATTTCTTTACTCCATAATCTATATCTTAATTTTCTCCTTATTTACAATTTGTCATAATATTTCTATTATTCTATGCATACGTATTTGCATATTACATACAAAAATAGATAACAGAACTCAAATTTGCGATCGAATTCATTTGAAACCGAGCGCTCTTGCAACCATTCAAAGAATTTGAAAGTGAAAAGGAATGCTGAAAAGGGTAGCAGCGAGCTGTTACGAACAAGAACACAAAGCGTGCCACCCGAACACGAGTGGCACGGTCCCTTCGTCTTTCCTCGTCGTCCCCTCGCCAACAATAAACTGGTATGAGACTCTTTTGAATCCCAATGTGAAACGGCACAAAGCGTGCCACCCGAACACAAGTGGCACGGTCCCTTCTTCTTTCCTCGTCGTCCCCTCGCCCACAATAATCTGGTTTGAGACTCTTTTGAGTCCCCGTGTAAAAGCACACACAGTATGCGATCAATTTATCAGTCAAAATTTTTCAAGACTCTTTCAATCAATGCAAAAATCATATCCGGCGTTTCATCTTTTTTTTGTGAAAGTTCAATTAGATAATGGAAGAAATAACGAATGACGATAAGAAACATCTTGATTGCTTTGCGATTGGAAGCGTCGGTCGACAAAAACATTGGTTATTATCGCTTCACTTTTTGTTCTTGAACACGAAAATTTTTTCAATTGGAAACAGGTTCGATATATTTTTGTTGCGCAGTCGTTTGATTTGCAATAAAAAGTTTGAAAAAATTTGAATTGGACGATAACTGCTGTTTTTTAAATGATTTTTTGAATAAAAAACTTGAAACTGTGATGCTCATCAATTGTGTTGTACGCCCACACGCCTTCCATCGTCGATAGATTCAAATCTGCCATTGTGCTTCTTTGTCTTCAAATGATTTTTAATATCATTGCCTCCACCAGCAGCAACCGAAAAAGTGAATGAAAGTAATCAGCTGTCAGTGAACAACTCTGACGTTTGCGGAATGCGCCGCAATAGGAGTAAGCGTTGTGTTTATCAATTCCATATATTTTTAGTTTGTTTATTCCTCTAGAATGTATCAATATGCAAGGAAGATATGCTCGAAGTGGATGAACAAGTCATTCCTCCTTTATTACTCGATTCTGGTATAAATCCATAAATTTTTTACTGATCTGCTATATTCTATTCATAAGCTACAGCGTCCACGGGAGAGTATGCGTTTAAATCTCACACAGGGATTTCAAGTCTATTTGTTCGCACATGTTTTTTGGTACCGTAAGACGGTTAATATTGCAGATGGGCGTAGTCGGACCACTGCCACGCCCACAAAACGCCATTAATCAAAAACAAATAAATTGCCATAACTAAGCTCCACAATAAGATATAAGACTGTTATTTGGTATTCACATTAGGGAGGGGCATCTTCAGTTAAAATGTTTTTTAAAAAGTGGGAGTGGTCCCGTCCCCTAATAGGTTTAATGCGCATATCTCCTAAACCTTTAAAGCTATAATAACAAAATTCACTGAAAACTTAAATGTTTTTAGCATGGTGAAATCGGGTGACAATCCCGCGTACTGTTAAAAACTACTAAAAGTGCGATAAATCAGGCACTAAACACGCCAGAGACATTAAATTTTTTCTCTGGGATGGTATAAGAAGATTTTATAGGAACCACGTTTAAAATTAGATAGTGGGAGATCTGCTTAACCGATTT